CATAAAGTATGTTCCGAAGTTTTCATGTACTCAAACCATGCTGAACTGCTGTTACTTCGTAGGATTTGCTAACTGTTTGTCAGCTTGTTCTGTTTCTCCTGTATTTGGTTTTTGTGTCCATTGTTCAATTGGCAGGGGCCCCAAAATGCCATCTGGACCTCAAAACACTGGCTAGTCTAACAATTTAATTAACAACAGTTGCTAGTCTTGTCTACGATAATGAATGATTTGCCAGCCGGGGTATCTAACACAATTAATGCTGGGCCTCACCCAATTCATTGGGACCCAACCCTCCTTCCTGCAAAATTGTAAGGAATTCACCATCCCAGAAAAACATTTACAATTTGTTGTGATTTTTTTTTTTTTTTTACAAAGTATCGTAGGGTTTGAACCAGTCACAAGAGAAAAAAGAGAAATTGCACTTTAATAACGTGGTAAAATTCATTTAATTCAACGAGTCAAGTACTATAATTTGTTGTGAATTTTTCCTTTTCCACACGAAAGGTGTTATTTATATTAAGTTTGCATCCATCTTGAAATTAATTTTTAATTAAATGAATTTGAAATGTGCATCTTTATATTAATTTAATAAATTTAATGAAATCAAATTTAATTAAGTGATAATATCAAAACTAGTAGGTCCAAATGAAGTGTATTTTTTTTATGTGGCCGACAAAGTTATCTAGTGAATTGAATTTCGACCTTCATCTTTTACGTGCAGTTCAGATAATGTATGGTAGTTTAAAACATATGATAGAGATGAGCCGCAAAGGTCATATCAACAAAACAGCCGGTCTAACCAATGTATAAACTCAAACTCTTTCAAGGGGGGTCCAATGAACTGACTAGAAAAAGCTTTTGTGGGTGTGCATGTGCGTTTTCTGTTATACAAAAGATTGTCGGCTGTACGTGTTTCTTCCTTTTTATTTTTTTATTTTTTTATTTTTTTATTTTTTTTCATTTTCTTGTTTAAAACGTGTTTTAAGTTTTTAACAAGTGACAATACAGCTGCCCCAAATTACCACCTCAATTTCGGTACATCTCTTAATGTTTGTCAGACGAATTCTACTAACACTTAATGTACATGAGAACTG